AAACTAATTCATAATTAAGAAAAAAGTACCATGTGGGCCAAATAAATCATGTTGGTTGGGCCAGTTTGCAACTTCTGCTGTGTCTTGTTTTCCTATTTAACCCGTAAAACCAAAACTCAAACCTGTTGCCATCGAGTCGATTCCAACTCATAGCAACCCTATAGGACGTAGTAGAGCTGCCCTATAGAGTTTCCAAGGAGTGCCTGGTGAATTCAAACTGCCGACCTTTTGGTTAGCAGCCGAACTCTTAACCACTATGCCACCAGGGTTTCCATTTAACCCTTACATCATCCTATAAAGGAGGTATTATCCCTTATTCTACAGATGGGGCAAGCAAAGCTCTTGGAGACTTACCCAAGGTCACATAGCCAGGAAGCCACGGAGGTAGGGGCTGCCTGACCCCAAAGACTTGCTCCTAGCACTATGTTAGACTGCCACTCTGATGGGAAAGAGGCCTGTGTTCAGACACAGCCAGAATTGGCATGGTGACAGAACATCTCTCCAGGGACAGTAAACTGTCAGTCAAGCAGAGAATTCAGTGTAGCAATGGGAGATCATTCGAGAGGAATGAGGAGTTGCAGACACAAAACTTCCTACCTCCCTCTGCCAGAACTCAACAATGGGCATCTCTGTGCCCAAAATTAAGTCATCATAAAATCATTTCTCCTGGTTATGCACTCCTTATAATGATGGAATATTCATGTTTGGAGGTTTTTTTTAGAGCTATAAGTGTATGTTTTAGGGAGTATGGTGTATGTGGAATAAATGGCTCTAAATTGTGTCACTTGTCAAACTTCTCAATGAGCATATTAGGCAGGTACATAGACATAATTTTGATTCTCCCTGTACTGTGAGCTCCAGGTGTCAGAGATGAGTCTGTTTTGCTTACAGCTATCTCCCAGGGCATAGCACAATGTCTGTGTTATGGGTTGAATTATTTCCCCCCAAAATGTGTGTCAACTTGCCTAGGCCATGATTCCCAGTATTGTGTGATTGTCCACTGTTTTGTCATCTGATGTAATTTTCCTGTGTGTTGTAAATTTTAACCTCTATGATGTTAATGAGGCAAGATTAGAGGCAGTTACGTTAATGAGGCAGGACACAATCTATAGGATTATGTTGTATCTTGAGTCAATCTCTTCTGAGATATAAAAGAGAGAAGGGAGCAGAGAGGATAGAGACCTTACGCCACCAAGAAAGAAGTGCTGGGAGCAGATCGTGTCCTTTGGACCTGGGGTCCCTGCACTGAGAAGCTCCTAGACCAGGGGAAGATTGATAACAAGGACCTTCCCCCGGAACCGACAGAGAAAGCCTTCCCCTGGAGCTGGTGCCCCGAATTCAGACTTCTAGCCTCTTAGACTGTGAGAGAATAAATTTCTGTTTGTTAAAGCCATCCACTTGTGGTATTTATTTCGGTTATAGCAGCACTAGATAACTAAGACAGCGTGACACATAGTGGGTATGTAATAAATATCTGTGAGTTGAATGAGTGAGGCTCAGAAGTAAACTGTCTTGTCGAAACGTCACACAGACCAAGATTCCCATTGACGTCCACCTGATTTAGAAGCCCTTGCTATCATCTTTACACCATCCTGCCTCTGGGAAAGAACCAAGGGAAAGTTGTCTCTAGGCACAGAATTATGGGTCCAAGGGTGTCCACCCCTTTGGACTCCTCTAGAGTGAAGGATTGGTGGAGGTAGTGATGGAGGTAAGCATCCACTAACTAAATCACTAAAACCTGTTGTCTTCAAGTCAGTTCTGACTCATGGCAACCCCATGTGTTACAGAGTAGAACTGCCCCATAGGATCTTTACAGAAGCAGATCGCCAGGCCTTTCTTCCATAGCCCTGCTGGGTGAGTTCAAAACACCAACTTTTGGTGAGTTCAAAACAATTTGCATCACCCAGGGACCTAACTAAGATATTATCCACCATGATACCTTTTAGCAGGCACATGTTATAATCTTGCCAGCCCTGAGCCTGGCTTTCCGAGTATTTTCAGAGGGAGGCAGCATATGAAGGGCAGACGCTGGGTTTTGCACTAAAACAGGCTAGGTTCCCGTCTCAGTTCTGCTGTGACTACGAACTGTGCTCCTCTCTGAGCCACCTTTCTTCTGTACAATGTGGATAAACAAATTTCACTTATGGGATTATTGAGTTGAAAGGAGATCATAATGGAAGTGTCTTCTCAGTAATTATGGATTTCTTGGAAGCCTGCCAACCTGAGGAGAACTGTTGACATTGGGAACAGCCTTATCGGGATCTACCAGACTTGGGGCCAAGGGGCCACATCTGTCAGGCCTTTTCTGCTTTTAAGTACGTATTAATAAATATAGCAGGCCTTATCTCTTCTTTGATTTCACACTGGGAAATCTGGCCTTCGCTTGGCCCCTTCTACCCAGCCCTGGGCTGCTGCAGCAGGACAGGTGGGATTGTGGCAGGAAGGAAAGCACTCAACCTGTGAGGTCACACAGTACTCAACCTGGGAGGCTGAGTAGTTGAACACCTGGACAGGGGCAAGACCTTTGGGAGGAGGATAGGGCTTTGGAAAAACCCTGGCCTTGGGCTCACCAAGCCTGTATAATGGCTTTTCGTCTACTGGGTAAGTGCATGCCCTCTGGGCCTTGGTTTTCTCTTAGTGAAATGGGCCAATACCAGCAAATATTTGCCTTCACTTTTCATCAACCAGCATGGTGCTTGGCACATGATAGGTGCTCAGTAAGTTTATTTGTTGAATGACCATTTGGTATGAGAGGACTTTACAAAAGTGAGATATTATTACTGTTATTGGGATCCTTTGGGAAGGTGTGGGGAAAGGAAACTCTCCATGTGGAATGGGAGTATTGCTGGCTCTCTCACCTCCTGTCAGGACCTGGGTCAGTTATTTAGAAGAAGACCTACCCCTCAGCTTCTCTATCGGGGGAGAAAGGGGGAACAGGCAGACCCCAGGGCTGGGAGTCCAGTGTAGGCCAGATTCTATCCCTGGCTGGTTTCATAGGACCCTGCCCCTGAAAGAGCCTCAGTTTTCCCATCTCTGTGGTCTCTTCCAGCTCTGACACATTCTGGATTTTTGATGAGTAACTTCACAAATTGCTCATTAGAGGAGGGAAGACACTTCTGCTGCTTTCCTAAAGCACCTCACAATTTATAAAACACTTTTAGATCCTTGTGCTTTTCATCCTCCAAGCAACCCTAGAAGGAGCTGGGGCAAAGTCTATGTGCTCATTTTACAGACAGGGAAACTGAGGCCAAGAAGTTTCCTCAAAGGGCTGTAATTTGAGGCTGCACCTCACATTTTAGTTATACAGTTACATCAGTTTGTTCTCAAATGTTAGCATGCATAAAAATCACCTGGAAAGGCATAGGAGTGGGTACTTGTGAAAAATGCAGATTCATGGGCAACCTAGAGATCTCAAAATGGCAGGGTTGCAGTGGGGCCCAAAGTAAACAAGTGCCCCAGCTGGTTCTGAGGTCTAAGGACCACTCTTTGAGAACCAGGACCTCCATATTGCATTCTGGAAGCCTCCAACAACAGCCTGTTTCTTTCATAACCCTCCTCAGCTCAGCGGCTGCTCTGGGCCAGGCCAGTGTGGGGAGGGGGCACTGTTGGAGCTCCCAGGGTGGTACAGGAGGCAGATGGAGAAACAGAGTGGTGTGTCAGTGCTGGAACAGAGGCAGCCTTGGGCAATAGAGGAAGTGAGTAACTCCAACTCTGGAGGGCTCCCTGGAGGAAGTGATGTTTTAGACTAAGTGGAGAGATCTTGTTTGTGTCCTTAAAAAAAAACAACAAAACCATTGCTGATGAGTCAGTTCCAACTCATAATGACTCTATAGGACAGAGTAGAATTGCCCCATAGGGTTTTCAAGGAGCAGGTGGTAGATTTAAACTGCCAATCTTTTGGTTAGCAGCTGAGCTCTTAACCACCGTGCCATCAGGGCTTCTAGCTACTTTTTTTCTTGTGGGTCAACCCCGTCAGACAGCAGGCAAGTTCGTAGCAGTTATCAAGCCTTTCACATCTCTATCCTCGTACTGTCACAAGACCTGGCACAGAGGAGAGGGCAATATTGGTCAAATCCACTGATCTGAGCAATGAGAAACGGCTGGCGGAGATGTGCAGGGTCTCAGGATGAAAGCATTTCCACGCCCAGGACTCCCACTTCTATCCTTGGGTGAGGTCTAAAGTGGAGTTTTGCCTTCCACATAGGATTGCCAGCCAGTGTACTTCATGCGCAACCACCACCCCTCTGTCAGTGGAGACTTGAGTGTTGCCATGATGAATAGGTTTCAGCAGAGCTTCCAGACTAAGACTGACTAGGAACAAAGGCCTGGAAATCTGCTTCCAAAAATCAGCCAGTGAAAATCCTATGGATCACAACGGTCTGATCTCCAACAGATCATGGGGATGGCACAGGACCCGGCAGTCTCCCAACTCAACGGCAGCTAACTTTAACAGCGTTACTTTAACTGTGGAAACTCCATATCGTATTGTAAACATTTGTTATCTCTCTGTTCCCCTCCTCCCGGAGTCAAAGTCTGAACTAAAGATGGACACAGAGCAGGCTCTCAAAACATATGTTGAATAAGTGAATGAATGAGTCCAAGCAGAAGCTGTGGGTCGGCTATTGAAGGGCTGTCCAGCTAAGACGGGGCCGCCGGAGAAGCTCCAGGAAAGCCCCAGACCTATATTAGGCCAGACATCCCTTCCCATTTCCTGGCAGCCCCCTTCTGCTTGGCGTCTGACTGGGTGAGGGACGGGGGAGGGGCAGGATTTGAGAGTAAATGGCATAGGTGGGCAAGTTGAGGATTGGAGATGTGGTGGGGGCTTAGAAGTTTTGCCCGAGGATGCAGAAAACAGGAGAGGACAGTTTCTAGAGACATAGGCTGGAGGGTCTGCAGGTTATTTAGGGGCTGCAGATGGAGAATGTGGTTAAGCGTGTGGCGGCTTTTGAAGGGAGTCTCTGCCCTAAATGTCTTTATCATAGAGGGGTCGCCAAGGTGGGATGTGCCGGGGCTGGGGCGGGGCTACAACGCCTCGGGCTGGGAGTGTCTGGTCTGGGGGCGGGGAATGTGAACAAGTCTGGCACCGCCCCGACAAAGCCTGCGCGCGCCCCGTCCTGCGACTGGCTGTGCCGCACCGCACCGCCTCCTCGTCCCGCCCCCCGTCGCCGGTCCGGCGCTCTGCAGCCAATGGATGCGACCGTCGCCGCCTCCGTCACAGCCAAGGCAGCCAATGGTGGCAGTGTTCTGCGGCTCGTGGCTCTTTCGCGGCAAAAAGGATTTGGCGCGTAAAAGTGGCCGGGACTTTGCAGGCAGCGGCGGCCGGGGGCGGAGCGGGATCCGGAGCGGGATCGAGCCCT